AGTGTGGGCACAATTCCTGCCAGGCCCCCCTCAGCCCTCAGGGCAGAGACACTGAGCAGCAGGGACCCCTCCGGCCCAACCGGCAGCTGGCAAACGTGGTGGAACTAGCCAAGCCGCTGAGTTTCCAGGCAGCACAGAGAGCAAGATGGGCCGGGGTGTGTGGGGAGCACCAGGAGGCTCTGAAGCTGTTCTGTGAAGAGGATCAAACTCCCATCTGTGTGGTGTGTGACAGATCTCAGGCTCACAGGATGGTGTCCTTACAGGAAGCTGCTCAGGAGTACAAGGTACCGAGTTACTGTCTAGTATAATGGGAAATAACATTGGGTTTTAACTGAAGGCTAATTTCACTGATTGTTACCTGCCACGGCTCTTTAAAGCCTTCATGGTAGAAGAGATGCTGTAAAAAGTAAATACTTTGGCTTTGTGGCAACTTGCGTCAAGTTTTTTACAGATGTCTGATGTGGGAAATGTGTCTCTAAGGCTGCGAATCCTGAAACCCAGCCCTCACGGATGACAGGAGGGGTTTTAACATAAGGGAAAGTGTTAACAATCAGAGAAGCAAAATACAGGACTATGTAGCAATTTAAAACCTAACAAGGTGGTTTATTAGTCATTTGATCTGAGGAAGTGGGTCTGGCCCACGAAAGCTCATCACCTAACAAACCATCTTGTTAGTCTTTAAAGTGCTACATAGTCCTGTATTTTGCTTCAGCTACACCAGAGTAACACGGCTACATTTCTATCACTAACAATCAGAGAGGTTTAGAGAAAAATAACATTGGGTTTTAACTGAAGGCTAATTTCACTGATTGTTACCTGCCACGGCTCTTTAAAGCCTTCATGGTAGAAGAGATGCTGTAAAAAGTAAATACTTTGGCTTTGTGGCAACTTGCGTCAAGTTTTTTACAGATGTCTGATGTGGGAAATGTGTCTCTAAGGCTGCGAATCCTGAAACCCAGCCCTCACGGATGACAGGAGGGGTTTTAACATAAGGGAAAGTGTTAACAATCAGAGAAGCAAAATACAGGACTATGTAGCAATTTAAAACCTAACAAGGTGGTTTATTAGTCATTTGATCTGAGGAAGTGGGTCTGGCCCACGAAAGCTCATCACCTAACAAACCATCTTGTTAGTCTTTAAAGTGCTACATAGTCCTGTATTTTGCTTCAGCTACACCAGAGTAACACGGCTACATTTCTATCACTAACAATCAGAGAGGTTTAGAGAAATGTTTCTCAACCAGTGCTCTGAGTACCCTTAGGAGTACTTGACCGAAATCTGGTGGGGTACCTCAACACAACTGAAATTTGGAGAGAATTTTTGTTTTAAGTTTTACAATGCTTTATTATTTTTGTAATTCTTACACCCAAAAATTTCATTGCCTGCCCTGCTACAATTAAGTTATTTAAACAAAAATATGTTGCAATGGTAAAAAAAAAAATTGTGTCCGAAAACTGCAGGTACTGGGGGTACTTTTTTTTTTTAAAGGGGTACTTCATTTAAAAAAAAAAAAACAAGTTGAGAGCTCCTGTGATGTAAACCAGTGTTTGAAGGCCAGTCTTTGGGAGTGAGCTGCCTAAGGACTGGAGAAAAGGAGGTTACAAGCTGCTACAGATTGGCTGAAAAGCAGTAGTAATCTATCATTTGTCTTATAGACCCACAATGGAATCAGGGCCCTGCACAATGCCTAGTAAGGGACAGTCTCTGGCCTGAGCAGGTCACAATCTAGTTACACAAATGTTGGGAAGGGAAAATGGGGCAGCAATTTCCTTATGGTCACCAAGCACATCAGTGAGTTTTGCCCAGAACCCTGCTCTCTCTAGGCTCAGTCCGAGGCTACACTAAACACTAAGCTGCACTCCCCCCTGCCTCTCTGCATCACTGAACAATGATGAAGTGTAGCCCTTAGGAGGGAAAGACGCCTTGCTACAGGCCTCAGGCCCAGCAGGGAGAGCAAATTTCCCACTGAGATGCTGAACTCCTGGGCTGCTGTATGAGGGGTTAAAGTTAGATGCGGCAATCGGCACTAGAGGAGGTCGCTGGGCTGTATGCTGTGGGGCCCCGAGCATCTTGAGTTCACCCATAGCAGGGCTCCAGGCAGTGCAGCTCCATTCCAGGCACCTCTGAGATTTGACTGGGTTGTAGCCAGAGTTCAAACTGGTTAACTGAGGAGCTAATGCTTATTGGTGCCAGTTACTGGTTAAACTCCCCGCTGTCCCTGGCAGTGCCCGCTTACCCCAGCAAGGAATGTCTGTCTGGAGCTGCTAGGAGTTCCCACCTGCCGGCAGACTTGATGCCCATCCCTGGCAGACTCCACAAGAGAACTCTGTCCCCAAGAGAGACCATGTCTACTACTGATCCTGTCTGTCAGCGGATTTAAAAAAAACTGTAATGGATTAAATTGTAATCAGTACCTTAGTATTTTTAACCCTTTTTACCTCCCCAATCCCCACCTGCATCATTCTTTATGAAGGTGCCACCACCAATCCGTCCCCCACCCTCACAGGTGTCGTGCTGCATCCGCAGTCTCCTCCTGTCCCTTTTTCAATGGACAAAGCCATGTCCACGGCTGAGTCCCTGCCAGACAGGGACAGAGCTCCGCAAAACTGGGACTATCTTAGAGACAAATATATAGGCTCCCAAAATTTCATGGATTTACCCTGGTGCTTATTTCTGTTTCTTCAGGAAAAATTGGAGGCCCATTTGAAGACTCTGAGGGAAGAGAGAGAAAAGCTGCTGGGAAGGAAAATGACAGCAGATGGGAAAAGCCAGGAGTATCTGGTAGGTGTCTGTGGTAATGAACCATGAGGGACTGGCAGTGGGTGGGCTGTGTTCGGAGGCAGACTCCTGTGTGGCCTGGTGAGGTTGGGCTTGTCTGTGTCTCTCCTGCATCATGGATTGCTGGGTTAGATCCTTGTGTAGACAAGCCCTGAGCTTCCAGGTCAGTGGATGAGTTAATATCCAGCTGCCGTGGCTGTGACGTAGTGGGGGTACCTGGCTGGTTTCTATGTTGCTGGCTCTGGGGTAACCCCCACTGGCTGCCGTGGATACCGCGGCCCAGGAGGACAGGCCATGAGTCATTATGTAAAGGGGGTCTCAACTTGTCTGACCAGCCACCCCCCCATGGCGAGGGACAAAGGAAGGTGGAATGCTGCCCTGGCTGGGGGGCAGGGCTGGAGGAGAGTTAGTTAATTGCTGTCTGGGAGCATGGAGGAAGCAGCCTCAGCAACAGGCTGGGGGGTTTAGAAGCCGAGACCCCCTCCCCCATATCAAGGGGGGCTGAGGCATCCTAAACCTGCCCTGTAACCTGATGACATCTGTGCTGTGCTGTATCTTGGAGAAGCAATAAACCACCTCAATTCTACTGGCTGGTCGAGTCTGTTTGTGCCATTTCGGGGGTGCAGGAGGTGGGGGACCCCCAACGCGCCGTCACAGTGGCTTTCCCAGAAATCTTCGCCAAGGGCACAGAATGTCCCCGTGAAGGGCTGTCTGCTCACTTAGTGCATTATTACGTTTACTTCTTTTTCCTTCCTGGGTATCTGCTTTGGGTCTGAAATTCCCAGCACCCATGAATAACACAACCTGCTGCCTATGACAGCCATGGGGACATCCCTTTCAAAGGGATACAGGGCCAGAGAAGATCCTGGGAGAGATACCACTGCCTAGTACCCAAAGAGTAAACTCAAATATCACAAATATTAGGGTTTTCCAAGAAGTTCTCCCTACTGTGCACTCAGCTCCCCTTGAAAGGGCCCCGGGGCTCCATCCATGTCCCTGACCAGCCCTTTCCCTGTTTTCATACAGAAATGGACCCACGCGGAGAGGCAGATGATTGTGGCCGAGTTTCAGCAGCTGCGGCAGTTCCTGGAGGAACACGAGCGACTCCTGCTGGCCCAGCTGCAGACGCTGGATGAGGAGGTTGGGAGGCTCCAGACTGACACTGTCAGGAAACTCTCTGCACAGATTTCCCATCTCAGCGAGCGGATCAGTGAGCTGGAGGGGACGTGTCGGAAGCCAGCAAGTGAATTCCTGCAGGTGAGACTGAGGTGTAACTCCATGTGCAGTGCTGACGTGTGAGTTGTGCTTTGCAGAGTTACAGGCGCAGAGCTATTAGAGATGGCAACGCCCCATTCGTTCAGGGGGTCCATGGACCTGGGGCCAGGTCAGGGTCCCTCTTCCCATGTTTACAAAATCCCTTCTCTGAGGTCCCCTGTGTGTGTCCAATGGGGCTGAGATTCTTTTCTGTCTCTTTTCTCTAGGACGTCAGAAACACCTTAACCAGGTAGGTGGCTCTCGTTCATCTCTCAGTGCACAGCGCAGGGAAAGGGCTTGGAGCTGATGTTAGCACCACATCTCCCCAGGGCTGTACAGCCTGATGTTGGATACAAATATCTCCGACTCATTTAATTCTGAAGGTCTCACCCTTGCACGATAGACTCTGGAATTCTCCATTCAGGGTGCTGTCTGACGTTAACTATTTCCTGGAGCTGTCACCTCACTGGGGACTGTCTGCCTCAGGACTGTGGGACTGGAACATGGGCCTGTCACTGCTGGGCACTAGGCACATTCAGCCCAGGGCAGCAGGGACCAAGAGTCTGTCCCACCCAAGAGCTGTTTGGAGACCTGTGTGGAAGGAGCTGGGGAGGGGGGGAGCTGGAGTCTCAGTCTAGTCCCTAGTGGGCAGATTCCTTCAGCCTTTCCCCTGGGAACCTCCTGTCCTTCAGCACCTGGAGGCTAAGGAGTGAGTTGGCCATGGAGACTCAATTCCCTTTTAGTCCCCCAGCCAGTCTCCCCAGGCCAGAGGTGAAGAACAGTAATGCGATCTTTCAGGGGAAGGTTGCACGCCCTTGGACTGTGTTGCCCCAGCTCTCAGGCTGGGAAAATTGGAGGAATTCTAACTCCAGACCTGTTAGAGCTGAGACATACTTGTCAGAACTTCTCATCAGTAAATGAAATGCAGTCACATGGAATTGTTTCTGTCCAGGTATGAGATGGGACAGTTCCAGCTGCCAGAGGAGATTTCCCCTGAACTGGAAGAACAAGTCAGAGGTTTCTCCCAGAAAACGATTGCTCTGTCGGAGACTCTGAGGGAGTTCAAAGGTACCTAGAGGGGATGGAGAAAGTGGTTCATGTATCTGAGACTATTGAATCTGGCCTCCGAAGCCAAGCTTCCCCTGCCTCAATTCCCACGTGGAGAACGACAGCCCCATCACACTGCTCTCCTTAGAGACACTGAGCGAACAGACCCAACTGCTTGCAGAGAGAGCCAGGGGTTTGCAAACTCTGAACCTCCCATTCAGATATCAAAATGGCTAAAGTTACTGTGATGGCCACGTGTCCCACCACCACAGCTCCAGGTTATGATAAGAGGCAGTAAGTGAATGAGAAACCAAGTGGGAGGGGGTGAGGAGGGAAAAGTAAATCTCACTTACAGCTTGTCCCTCCTGGGACGGGTGTGAGGCTCCAGGGATGTTGGATTCATAGCTGGGAGGTGCCCAAGTGAGAGAGGAAATGAGTTTCAGACTCTTTCATGCTAAACACCTGAGTGTGTCTGTCTGGTCTCTGATACAATTGAAATGCAGAGTTCAGAGAGGGGACATGGTTATAAATAGGAGAGCTGTAATCTCACCTCCCTTATCTCTTCCCCCTCCAGACACACTGCCCTCGGCACTGGAGAGTGCAAGAGGAAAATCCCTGGGAGCTTTTAGACAAGGTGAGTTGTTTGCAGGTGGAGAGTCTTTAAAAATTCCTGTGAAAACATCATCATGGGATTGTCATTAAAATTACCAACCACACCCAGCGACCACGGCACACAGCCCTAAATCTCACCCACTGATCAGTGAGGACACCCGGGGCACTGGATTGGGGACCTGCGGACACTTGGAGAAACACTGATCTCCGGGGTGTGATGCTAAAGGGGTGAAATTAAAGCATGCAACAGACGTCACCTGCAGGCTCAGATTTCACTGCTCAGTTTCAATATGGGGTTGGTTTCAAACCATAAGTAGTCTGAAAGGCTAAGAGAGCTGACTGGCTTCCACGGTATCAGTCTGTTCGTGGCTAGACACTGCTGGATCCCTACCCCAAGCTTCCTTCTGCTCCCAATGCCCATCCCAGAATTAATGCATTTCCTCCATTAGTGTCATGGAAGAGTGCAACTCAACCACTTTCCAAAATCTTGGAGTGCCCCCCCAATCAAAATGAGTTGCCCACCCCTAGTCTAGTGGCTACGGCTCAGTAAGAGCCAATTACTCAAAGCTAAAGCCAGACTATTTCAGGCTAGAAAAGAGGCACAGCTGTTTGATAGGGAAGAGGATTAGCTGCTGAAACAAATGAGCAAAGAACTGATGGACTCCATTTCTTGATGTCTTCAAATCAATACTGGGCAGCTTTCTAGGAAACACGCTGTGAGGAAACAGAGCTTTGTGCGTGGGTAAGTGGACTAAGTGCAGTGGCTTGTGCCACAGAGGAGGTCAGACTGCATGACTGAGGATATCTTCTGACCCCATGAATCCACAAATTTTAAAATCTCATCCTGCAAACAATTAGCGCACGTGTTTAATAATATGGTCTGAATGGTCATATTAACTTCATTTCATCTCTGTTCTGGGTCAGATGAGACAACCATAATTTGTGCTGCAAATCAATGAATAAAGACTACGGGTTTTAAATACAGCAGCCTAAATTTAATCTAGGTCCATGTTCAGGTGGGTGAATATATGGTTTATTGGAAACACTGGATGCTGAGAATTGAATCCCATTGTTACAGGCACAGTTTTGTTGAAATTCAAGCCCGGTACGGAAAGAAATGAATATAGATTTGGGATGTAACTTGAAGATGCTGTTTATGGAATATCAGGACTCAAACTTTTGCTCATAGTGGCAGAGTCTAGAACGGGGATCACCAGGGACAGTGTCTGGGAAGAATGGGGATCACCAGGGTCAATGTTCAGGTGGGTGAATATATGGTTTATCGGAAACACTGGGTGCTGAGAACTGAATCTCATTGTTACCGGCACAGTTTTGTTGAAATTCAAGCCAGGTACGGAAATAAATGAATATAGATTTGGGATCTAACTTGAAGGTGCTGTTTATGGAATATCAAGACTCAAACTTTTGCTCATAGTGGCAGAGTCTAGAACGGGGATCACCAGGGACGGTGTCCGGGAAGAACGGGGATCACCAGGGACGGTGTCTGGGAAGAACGGGGATCACCAGGGACGGTGTCTGGGAAGAACGGGGATCACCAGGGACGGTGTCTGGGAAGAACGGGGATCACCAGGGACGGTGTCTGGGAAGAACGGGGATCACCAGGGACGGTGTCTGGGAAGAACGGGGATCACCAGGGACGGTGTCTGGGAAGAACGGGGATCACCAGGGACGGTGTCTGGGAAGAACGGGGATCACCAGGGACGGTGTCTGGGAAGAACGGGGGTGTGGAAAGGATTAAAGCCCCTTCTGAAATGTCTGCAATTGCCCTTCTCCCCCTGCCAGGCTTCAGAACACCCATGCCTGTCTCCAGCTCAGCCCCTGGCCTGCAGAGCCAGGGACAGGAAATGGCTGTGGCAGAGCTGGTGACCTTCGAGGAGGTGGCTGTGTACTTCTCTGAGGAGGAATGGACTCTGCTGGACCCAGGCCAGAGAGCCCTCCACAGGGATGTGATGCAAGAGAATTATGAGGCTGTTTGCTTTCTGGGTAAGGATTCCTATCCCCTCGGGTATCAGAAGCTGGGTGGGCTCTGGAGCTGCTGGGTTCGGTTTGGTTGAGGCCCCTCAATGTCCTTTGCCCCCCAGTGTCAGGGGTATCAGCCCCAGTAATCTTGGCTGCTGTGAGAGACTCGCCTGCATGTCCCCTCCCAGGGGAAGCAGGTTGAGGGACATAACAATGGTGCTGCACTTCCCTCACCCCAGGTCTCCATGTACTTCCCCACTGCTTTGCCCATGTTGTGCCTTGGCCAGAGGAGTCAGTGGAAGGGGCCAGGCAGGAACGGCAGGTGGGTCTGAGTCTGGCTGCTGTTGGTGCCTGTGGGGTCCCCCTGTGCTGCACTGGCAGAGCATGGGGCTTGTCCATACCCCACGGCTAAGACGTTACTGTAGAAAGGCACAGGTTCCGTTCAGGGGCTAAGGCTCTAGGACAGGTTTATTTTCGGAGGAGCAGGGTGCTAGTGTCCCAGCTCCCCGGGCGCAGTTACAGTGAGACGTGACCCACCCCGACAAGGGTACCAGCTCAGTTAGCAACCAAAACGCTGCCCCTCAGTATGAGGCAGCTGAAATGGGAGGCTGAGAGTGATGGGTGGGAGATGAGGTGACGGGTCTGACATCAAGCTCCAGTAAGCCAGGTGATACAGGCCCAGAGGCAGGCAACAGGACAGCCTTTATCTACTGGGGGACATGTTGTGTCGGCAGCGTTATGTCCTGGGCAAGCACCCTGGGGTCCACCCAGTCCTGCCAACCATTGTCCAGGAAAGCACTGACTTTAGTGACGCTTCTGCAGTCACTGCTTTTCCGGGCAGCCCCTCCTTTTGGGTTGCTCGGCTGTTGCTGTTCCGTCAGCGCCGTCTTTCTTCCGGCTGGCATTCCCACTAAGGCAGAAGTTCCCAACCGCTCGCGCACTGGGGACCGCTCAACCCAGTCACAAACCGGTAATGTTGTATTTGCATGTTCATTATGCAAGTAATGAATTTGCAAATAGTTACCAGTCCCCCACAGATCAGAATTTGCAGATATCGACACTGAAAGAAATCACAGAAAAAATTTCTGAGTGGGGCAGATGGGCTCTGTGTAATACGCAAAAGGGAGAGGAAGCTAGCCACCAGGCCTGCATCCTGCAGGGCCGCTCAGAAATTAGTCAATTTGGAGAGAAACGGCTGGTATAGGAAACCTTCATCCTTTAGCTCCCTGCCCTGGAGCCATAAGAACATAAGAATGGCCGTACTGGGTCAGACCAAAGGTCCATCTAGCCCAGTATCCTGTCTGCCGACAGTGGCCAGCACCAGGTGCCCCAGAGAGGGTGGACCGAAGACAATGATCAAGCGATTTGTCTCCTTCCATCCCTCTCCAGCCTCTGACAAACAGAGGGCAGGGACACCAATTCTATCTCCTGGCTAATAGCCTTAGCATAGCTAAACCATAGCAGCAGCAGTGCTCCTTTCTAGAAGACATACCTTTTTTCTCTTCCTCTTCTCCAAAGCACACAAGAAGCAGGAGCAGCAACACATCCCTTCACTAGGCAAAAGCTCCTAAGCTCCGTGTTCATCCAGGACCCAGCGTTCTTCCCATTTCCCCAACACTCACTGCAGAGGCAGAGACAATCAGGAGTGGGAATCATGTAGCTTTCAACCTCCATGACTTCATAAGGCAATGACGCAGCCAGGTTTTGGCCATGTGTGCTCAGCCACTATTGCTTCCGGGCTTAAAAACAGGCCTAACTTCCTCAGGCAGGCAGGACAGGTCAGCCGGCAGCCTGGCCCACTCCATAGATGGCAGGGTCTTATTGCTGACCCTGGTCCACTGGAATTGGGGTACAGGCTCAGGGGATTCCCTGAGATCAGCACTGACCTCCCCTCACTCTTTGCAGTTAGCAGCAGGGTCCCTCTTGGGTGTAGCTGCAGGACAGTGGGGGAGGGGCACCTGAGCACATGCTGCCAGCTGTGCGTGGGCCGCTGGGACTCTCCTCAGCGGCCGCACATATTCACAGCTCACAGGGAGCGCAGGTAGAGGGGACTCCTGGTTCCAAGCAAAGCCCCTAGCACTGAATAGAAATGCACAGGGGCCAGCTGGAGTTGAATGACACACGAGCTGGTCGCATGCCCATGCCTGCTCTGAGTCATGGCGGCGTTTCCCTCCGTCTGGCCTGAAAATCCATGAGAGAGTCTGTCCGTGGGGATAAGCTTTCCAGGGCCTGTGTGTTTTGTGGATGGACCATCCCTCTGAATTTTTCACTCAGTGCGGTGGCTGGACTGGATGGAAATGACATTTTGGGTGTTTCCACCACAGTGACGATATTTGAAATATGGGTGCATGGTCAATATTCATAACTTGAGGTTCAACAGTGATGTCCACGTGCAGACAGGATAATCACAATCATCCCATCAGAATGTTCCCATTGGCACCGCACATGGCACACTTGCACAATTACAACAAAACTTGTGCTAACAGTAGGAGCGCTGTGACCTACATGGTCATATTTTAATCGTGTAACATCACGGGGGGATCTTCCTAGCACTAGATGAAGGTCCGAAAAGGGGTCTGGCTGATGGTGAGAGGAATGTGCCCACGAAGTAGGAAAAATGTGAATGGTTGATTCTGTGCAGCCAAGGAGACAACGAATGGGAGGCCATGCTGGCATGAGGAAGGCTGGAATCCACATGAAGAGGCTGCTGGTGGCAGAGTAGAACCAAGGCAGCAGAAGGGGAGCTGAGCTGCAGGAACCATGCAGCTATGGCCTTGACACACCGCCCCCCGCCCTGAAGAAACAGCATAGCCAGACACTGTTATGACCAGCTACAGGAGCAGCAGCTCTTGTGGGCAGTGTCAGGGCCCACCCAACCACAGGCAGGGGTCAGGAGTGTGGAGCATAGGGAGGGTCTGAAGCAGCCAGCCAATCATTCGCCACATTTCTTAGGAAACCTATTCTGCTTCCTCCTAATTCAAGTAGAGCATCCGAGCCAATGAGCAGGGTGATCTGAGCCAAGTCCCCCAGCCAGGAGCTTTGTGGAGAGAGCCCCTGGGGAGCTGCTGGGTCCTTTACATGTTCTAGTGACATGCCATGTGGCTGCTACAGTCTAAGCCCTGCTCTTGAGCAGCATGGGCCTGGCCTAGGGTAGGTGAGGGGATGGAACGGGCCATGAGGGAGACTTAGTTGTACCCTGGAGCTGTGGTTCTCAACCTTTTCAGACCGTGGCCCATGTTGCTCAATGCAGACCTTTCTGCAGCCCGTAAGCCAACCACCTGTGATGACAAAATGGGTGTAGAAGAGTGCAATTTGGGGGAGGAGGTTGGGCATGGGAGTGTGCTGGGAGTGGGGGTTGGTTGTGGAGGGACTGTAGGAGGGGAGTACCTGAGAGGGATAGGGATGTGGGATCTGAAAGGGAGTCACTTGTGTCCATACTTCCCACCACTCCTTGACACTGCACCCCTCCCTCACCCCCACTGCTCCCATTGACCATAATTCTGACTCACCTGCAAAATGGTCACAGACCACTAGTGGTCTATGGACCACACTTTGAAAGCCACTGCCCTCCAGGGTGCACAGAGCACTCGGTTCCCCCGGGAAATCAGCTTGGCCATTCCTCAGGCAGGGGGTGATGCACCTTTCCTGCAGGGGAGTGTGCCCCAGGATCTTGTACCATCCAGTCTCTGCAAGGTGGGGAAGGAGCCTCTCTGGGTGGGTGAATCAGATCCTGGCTTTGGAATCAATAATGGCACAGACCTTAATGAACAAGATCAGCACTTGGTTAATTGCTCCCCAAGCAGGATTTCCAGTCTCGAAAACTTCTGTGATCTCCTGGGTGGAGCAAAGGGAAGATCTCCAGGTCTGTGAGGAAGGGGTGATCATCAGTGACACCCACACAGGTGAGCCATCAGCCAAACTGAGTCGGAAACCTCATAGCAGATGTCACTTGTGCATTTTCATCAAGTCTGACTGACCCTTCAGCCTGTCTTCAACTCCAGTCAGGCGGGGGGGCAAAAATTAGGTGCTCTCTGAGTGTGTCTAAACTACAGGGTTTTGTCGACAAAAGTGGACTTTTGTTGACAAAACTATACCAGCGTCTACACTGCCGCTGAGTTCTGTCAACATAACGTGGACAGAACTCAGCAGCTTTGTCAACGGCTGTAAACCTCATTCTGCGAGGAAGAATGACTTTATTCTACGAGAAATGCCTTTTGTCGACAGAGTTCTGTCCTTTGCATCTACACTCCCATGTCGACAAAGCGGCTTGCTTTCTTGACAGAACTGGATGTAGTCTAGATGCTCTTTGTCTACAGAAGCTTTGTCGACAGTATCTGTTGACAGAACTTCTGTCGATAAAAGCCTGTAGTCTAGACATACCCTCTTTTGGGAAACAATTATGGGGAAGGAGGATGGGCTCAGCTCATGATTATTGACCTTTCTGGGATTATTTGGGTGTGTTTCCTCTCTTTGTTCCCTGTTCATTTCAGCTCAGTTCTGAGAATGACTCCTCTCTGGATTCTCTTTCAGTCCCTGCAGGTGATGGGACACTGAGTGAAAACAATGAGGAGAATCTTCCACAGGAAGGACTGGAGCATGTGACTCCATGTGGGATGTTACTGGGAAGATCTGAAGGGCATGTTTACCAGATACGTGAACAGGAAGAGACCTGTGAGAGTCAACATAGCCCAGAAAGGCAGCACGGAAACCATCCAGGAGAGGGACAGGGTAAATCCAGTCACAGGAGCAGAGGGGAAAAAAGAAACAAGGAAACGATTCAACAGAAAACCTCCCATCAACAATCACCCTGCACTTCCAGTGACTATAAAACTCTTATTGAACCTCAAAGAGCCCACACAGGAGAGAAACGCTTCAGCTGCTCTGACTGCGGGAGAAGCTTCAGTAAGAGATCAAACCTTGAAAGACATAAGAGAATCCACACGGGGGAGAAACTCTTTTATTGCTCTGACTGTGGGAAAAGCTTCAGTAGGCGCTCAAATCTCATAACGCATCAGAGGAGCCACACAGAAGAGCCACGTTTCAACTCCTCTGATGGTGGGAAACCCTTCAATGGGAGATCAGACCTTGTTCGACATAGGGGAGAGAAATGCTTCAGCTGCTCTGACTGTGGGAGAAGCTTTAGTAAGAGATCAAACCTTGAAAGACATAAAAGAATCCACACAGGGGAGAAACGCTTCAGCTGCTCTGACTGTGGGAGAAGCTTCAGTAGGCGCTCAAATCTTGTAACACATCAGAGGAGCCACACAGGGGAGAGACCCTTCAGCTGCTCTGACTGTGGGAAACGCTTCAGTGGGCGATCAGACGTTGTTTCACATAAGAGAATCCATAGGGGAGAGAAACGCTTCAGCTGCTCTGACTGTGGGAAAAGCTTCTATGGGCGTTCACATCTTATTACTCATGTGAGAATCCACACAGGAGAGAAACCTTTCAGTTGCTCTGACTGTGGGAAAAGCTTCAATAGGCGCTCAAATCTTGTTACGCATAAGAGAGTCCACACAGGGGAGAAACCCTTCATCTGCTCTGACTGTGGAAAAAGCTTTTGTAGGAGCTCACAACTTTTTAGACATCAGAGAACCCACAAAGCAGAGCCACATTTCAAGTCCTCTGACTGTGGGAAACGCTTCAGTGAGAGATCTAATCTTGTTAGACACAGGAGAAACCATTCAGGGGAGAAACACATTTGCTCTGACTGCGGGAAAAGCTTCAGTTGGAAATCACATCTTAATATACATAGGAGAATGCACACAGGAGAAAAACCGTTTAGCTGCTCTGAGTGCGGGAAAAGCTTTACTGGGCATTCAAGTCTTATTAATCATGTGAGAGTGCACACAGGAGAGAAACCTTTCAGCTGCTCTGACTGTGGGAAGAGCTTCAGTAGGAGCTCGTATCTTGTTACACATAAGAGAATCCACACAGGGGAGAAACCCTTTGTTTGTTCCGAGTGTGGGAAAAGCTTCAGGGAGAGATCAGGCCTTGTTAAACATTCAAGAATTCACACTGTGAATATCCTTTGATTGTGGGAAAACTTTGATTTGGTATTCACATTTTAACAGTCACGAGACAATACACACAGGAGAATCATAGAATCATTAAATCAAATAATAGAACACTAGAACTGGAAGGGACCTTGAGAAGTCATCAGCTCTAGTCCCCTGCCTTTACGGGAGGTCCAAGCACTATCTATCATCCCTGATAGAAGTCTATCTAACTTGCTCTTAGGTATCTCCAATGATGGAGATTGCACAACCTCTCTAGGCAATTTATTTCAGTATTTAACCATCCTTACAGTTAGGAAGTTTTTCCGAATGTCCATCCTAAACCTCCTTTGCTGCAATTTAAGCCCATTACTGCTTCTCCTATCATCAGAGGTCAAGGAGAACACTTTTTTCCTTCTCCTTGTTGCATCCTTTTAGGTTCTTGAAAAATGCTATCGTGTCCCCTCTTAGGATATGGCTACACTGCGGGGGAGGGGTATATCTTCTGATTCTTTTCCCAGAAGAGATTTTTCCGATATTTGGCCCATCTACATGGGGCCAAACGTCTGGAAAAAACCCTCTTTCGAAAGACCCCTTATTCCTTGTAAAACAAGGTTTGTGGGGGCTTTCAAAAGAGGGTTTTTCCCCTGACATTTGGCCCCTGTGTAGACAGGCCAAATATTGGAAAAACCCTCTTCCGGGAAAAGAATTGGAAAAAGATATGCAAATGTGAGCATGATTTGCATACCTCCTTTTGGGAAAAAAAACTCTGCAGTGTAGCCGTACCCTCAGACTTCTCTTTTCTGACCTAAACAAACCCCAAGGTGTTCCCTTTTTGGTCATGTTTTCTAGAACTGTAATCAATGTTGATGCACTTCTCTGGACCCTCTTTTAGTTCTCTACATCTTTCTTGAAATGTGGTATCCAGAATTTGAGACAATACTCCCAACTGAGCCTAATCAGTGCAGAGCTGGGTGGAAAAATTACTTCTCATGTCTTGTACCTTTTCTGACTGCAGGAAAAGGTTCATTCAGAGCTCAGAATGATTTAGACCTAGGAGAATCCACACAGGAGAGACATCCTATAACCTAAGTTCCCTTTAAGCAGGAACTTAGGGCTGTGATGGGGAGTGATGCCTTTACTCACTGGTCTGAACCCCAGCCCAGACCTGAAGTGACTGGCACACAGCTAGCTATGCCATAGCACCAGAGCTGTCATGGCAAAGAGAGGTGCCTTTCCCCCAGGCTCCCCCTTCACAGCAGCATTTGAACTGGGGGCGAGAAAGCTGATGGAAGTCTTCTCTCCCCAATGTAGCCCTTTGGTGGCCTGTCGCTCAAACACCTCCATCCTTGGCCCACCCCAAAGATCACACCCCCCAGCTCATGCCCTTATCTCTCCACAGATCAAGCTTCTGTCTCAGCCCTGAGCCCATCATCCCCAGGGCCAGCCCTCACACCGCTGCTCCCCAACTCTTTGTCCCAGCCCTGAGCCTACGTCCCACAATCCAAGACCCTGAAGCCCAGCCCCACTCCTACCTCATGAACATCTCTGCATCCATATGGAGATATGTCCCCCGGAATATTGGTGCCGCTAACAAAATTGATTCTGTAACTGCGGGAAAAATAGATGAAACACTGTATAACTACCCTGGCTATGAGAAGAGTTTCAGTGAGGGGGTCAGACCTTATTAAACACAGGAGAATCCACACAGGGAGAAATCCTTCATCTGCTCTGATTGTGAGAGAACCTTCAGTGAACACTCACACCATATTGCACATCAGTTCACACAAGACAAAACCCCTATAACTGCTAAGACTGGGTGCAAAGGTTCAGTCAGGGCTGATACCTCCTTGAACATTTGTCAGGGGAGAAAGGTCAAAGCTGTAGTTCAAGCAGAGAAAGCTTTAGTCAGTGTCACACATTGTATCACATCAAAGAACCCAAATATATGAGAGACCTTATTGTAATATATTGCATCTAAAGCCTTCCTCTGTAGCCAGAATGAAGAGCAGCAGCCATTAGCTGTAAAGCTTGGAGTCACATACTCACGTTCCATCTAAATTGTGTTAAACAAGTGTAATATCAGGCTGTTAGGAAGGAGATTCTGTCCTAATGGCACCCACTGTCACCAGATAAAGAAACACATCTCCGGATGGGTAAAGAAAACATAGTTGAATAGCATTTCATCTGGCCAGAAGCTATTTATCAATAGCTGAGGCTGTGGTGTTCTCATTCTATTATTATGGTTCTCAGTTTCCTAAGGTTTGTTTGATCTCTGGTTTTTAATTGTTTCTGTCTTCTGTATAACTGTGCTAGGAGTAAATCAATTAAAGTGAAAGGATAGGATCGGTTAGGTAATTGTTACAGTATGTTTCTATTGATTAGTAAAATTAAACTAGAACTGTTAAGATAGAGCTAAGCAGCTCTCAGGTTTCACTATATAAAACTGGATCCAAAAGAAAATTAATGGGGGAACCAAGTCCCGGACATAGGTCCAAGAGCAGAGCTGCCAGACCTCAACCCTGTGCCAATAGCCGTGCTGCAACTGGAGTCCCCCAGATGGACCTGATCCTGACTGCCCATCAAGGCGAGTTCATCTTTTATTGGGAGTGGCGAACTTGGTATCCTTGGTGTGTGCATCCATTTGTGTCGTGTTAAAAAATAGAGATGAAGTAGGTTATTACTGTGTAAGGCTCTTTCAGTGGTAAAAGACCCAGGAGACCTGCAAAGTGTAAAGTTACACCTGAGCCCTAGAAACCGGTGAAGATGGGTGCCCATATTGAGAGAGTTACACCTTTGCCCTAGAAATGAGTAATGATGGTTGCTCCTAGAGAGAGTGTCTACGTCTACACTGGCCGCGAGTACTTGTGCAAAAACACTGCTGTTCTAATGTATAAAATCAGTGCTTCTTGCACAAATACTCTGATGCTCCTGCTCAGGGGTAAGTCTTCTTGCGCAACTGTTCTTGCGCAAGAGGCCAGTGTAGACAGGCATCAATTTCTTGCGCAAGAAAGCCCGATGTTTAAAATGGCCATCGGAGCTTTCTTGCGCAAGAGAGCATCTACACTGACACAGATGCTCTTGCGCAAAAGCACATCTTTTGCACAAAGGCACATGCCAGTGTAGACGCTCTCTTACTCAAATACTCTAACGCAAAAACTTGGGTTAAAGAGTATTTGCACAAAATCTTGCCAATATAGACTTAGCCAGTGAGCATTTTGTGCAGGTAACACAGCCAGCAGGCTAAATGACCCAAATTAAAACATGCAAATGGTAATTAAGGCTATTGCTTTTAGATATCTAACAGCCATGCTAGATAAGGCTGGAGCATTGACATACAAGCCTGTAGTGTGAGATAATTCAGTGTACATACTAATTCTATTTGGATGTTGCTTGTTAATGTTAACAATGTAACTTGAGAATGTTAATTCCCTTTTATGTCTTCATTATATTATATTTGATTGTGGAGGATTCAGTCAAGCTTAAAATCAAAGATGTAAGATACTACAGAAAGTCGTATGATTTTATTGTCTTTGTTCCTAGTTTACCTGTGTATACATAGCAAATGGGGATTTTTACATCAGCTCAGCATGTGCATTACCTGTTCTTCACCCAAGGAATGCCTGGCACATTGTACTGTCAAAAGGCTGCCACTGCCTGGTAGAAATCTCTACAGAAAAGCCATGGGGGATTGTCCCTGCACTGCAGCTTGTCCCACCTGGCCATTGTCGTGGACTCTGTGATGTCATCACCTCCCAGTCTCCTTTAGCCAGTAAACTGAGCAGCTGCAAAAGGCCACACCCACTCTAGCCCTGAAGGGCTAACGTCCTGTCCCTGCCAATCCCCTTGCATGGTGGAGCTGCTCCTTGGGTGAAAGTAAGACTGTTGTCACACCTCCAGATCAGCTACTAGAAGTGGGCCTCATCCTCCCTGATTGGATCCACCTCCTCATCTCCAGCCTGATTCTGGCCTGCACATTTATACCTGCCTCTGGAAATTTCCACTACATGCATCTGATGGAGTGGGTCTTTGCCCACGAAAGCTTATGCTCCTACACTTCAGTTAGTCTATAAGGTGCCACAGGACTCCTCGCTGCTTTTGTACCTATAAGACACCCTCCTTGGATGGGAGAAACAAGGCAGGAGGGGCTTGTGATATGACAGGACCTGTAAGAAGTTAGCGTGGAGTGGAATGCAGGAAGCTCAGGACAGGAGGTTGGGGAATGTGTGGTTGTTGGGAGAACACAGGACAGGGGATGAGGATGTGAGTGGGTACACAAATCAGGGCAGGGGATTGGAAGACTAAAGGGGTTTGGACTGTGTGTGTGTGTTGGGGGGGTGTCAATGGGTCTAGAATCCCAGCTCCTTCTGCTCTGGGCTCCCTGAGGCCCTTTAACACACAAGGGCTGCGTCGAGACTGGCATGATTCTGCGGAAATACGTTTAACGTTGAAAGTATTTCCGCGAAAGAGCATCTAGATTGGCAAGTGCCTTTACGCAAAGATTTGTTTTTGAGCAAAAGCATCTGGGCCCAGTATAAATGCGGTTTTGCGCAAGAAAGCTCCAGTGGCCATTTTCGTCATCGGGGCCTTCTTACAGAAAAAATTCCTGTCCCTGTCTACACTGGCCCTCTTGTGCAAGAACACTTGCATAAAGGGCTTTTTTCCGAGCGGGAGTGTCAAAGTATTTGCGCAAGAAGCACTAAATTCTTACATTAGAACATCAGTGCTCTTGTACAAATTCAAGCAGCCAGTTAAGACAGCTGGGAAGTTTTTGCGCAAAAGCAAAAACTTGCCAGTCTAGATGCACCTAAGGGCTTTCTCTGCAATGTGCTAAGGAGAGGAATCCCGAGCCAGTGACACGGACTGATCTGGGTGCAGGTGCACAAGAGGTGTTTCAATAAAGCTACATGTGACTAAATCCATCTACCACCAACTGCCAGACACACAGGGCAGGGGAGACTGTAGTCAAGGAACTAGTAACTGAGGAAGAGTTGGTGGCTAGTCAGATGAACACGAGTTTCCACTGCTAAGCTGTGGGCAAAATGGATGATGTGCTCACAAGATGCTCTAGCACAGTGTTTCCCAATTTTATTTGGCCATGGAACGCTTTTCAGAATTTCAAGGATCCCCTAGGTTTGTCAAGCAAAAAAAAAAGGAGAGGGAGGGGAACCCACCAATGCATGAAAATCACATTCCTTCCCCAAGACCCCACCCCTTTGAGGCCCCATCCTCTCTGTACCCCTGCCCTTACACACTCAATGGGTTGAGCCAGGAGGTGCAGGCTCGGGTGGGAACGAGGGATTTGGGTGTGGGAAGGGGTGAGATGTGCAAGCT